TCTTGCCTCAGCCTTCAGAGAGCTGAAATTACAGGGGTGCACCACCACGCTTGCCTGGGAGTACTTATAAAGAATGCTGATAATAAATTCCTTTCACAAACGAGTGCCTGTTACACATGAATGCCTTCAAGGAGTTCGTTTATAAATGAGTACAAGTGATAAATGCATACACAGACTTTTGAGTAATAGTCTTGAAAATACAAATATTACCTAAAAAGTAATATATGTAGATTATGTTATAAAGGTTCAGATGAGTGAGAGATTAGTTTGACCCGGGTATGAAGGATGGTAGCTGGAACACCTAGTAACATAGGAACAGTGACAGGAAGTGAGAAATGGGGTGGAAAAGAGAAAGGATAGATACCATCTTGGAATAGTAGAGACAGCACTATCAGACAGTAGTAGATAAAACTTTGGCTGACAAGTAAGAAACAAGTAGAAAGATTTAATTACATAAGTGATAAAACTTGTGATGTGCCTCATTATCAGGCTGAGGCTTTGAATTTCATTTTGTTGATACTAGAGAATCACTGAAACTCTTGAGCAGGTGCTATAATTCATGTAGAGCCAAGTATGTGGATAGAACCAAGCAAGGATTAGCACAGCTCCCTAAAAGCAGAGACTTGAGTACAGATGATGGCTGTCCAAGTGGAGTGGAGAGACTCAAGGCAGTATAATCAAGGAAACTTGGCTCTTGGTTTAGGTATAGAGAACTTAATATATTAAGAGATGAGAAGTTCTTTTGGGTATTGGGTAAGAAGATGGTACCATTAATAGAAGCAGATAAGGCAGGAAAATGAATCGGAGATCTCTTAACAATTTTATAAACAGTTTGTTTGCTTTGGTGATCATACCTAATGTTTAACATGTTGTCACCATCCAGTAGGCCCTCAGTAAATTTTGCAATTTGATTATCTATTTAAATTTATTATTAATCTGTCATTGAACTCTCAGATCTGCTTTTAGATAAGATCAGACAGATTAAGATTATATATCCCTTAAGGGGGGGGGGGCTGGGGATTTAGCTCAGTGGCATAAGCACCTGCCTTGCAAGCAGCCGGTCGTGAATTCGATCCCCGGTACCGATAAAGATGAAAAAGACAAAAAAAAAAAAAAAAAAAAAAAAAGGGTGATGATTCTGAACCTATATGTATATATTTCCTAGCTTTTTAGTTTGAAAAATTTCAAAACTACAGAAGAATTTGAAGGAAAAACGCACTCACCCTTCATACTGATTCAGCTGTTAAAATTTCTCTGTGTTTGCATTGTTTACTATGTATTTATTTTGTGGAACTGTGTGAGAGTAAGCTACAGGATAAGATGTTTATTTTGTTTTGTATGCATTGATTCTAAAGTGAGCTAGCTGCGGTGCTGACACTAGAGCTGGCCTTGTGAGCCCACGTTAGACTTCAGTGTTCTAGAGATGGTAAAGTGCATAGGATGGCCAAGGAAAGAGGCGAAGGATGTTCCCAGGAATGTCCACAAGTGAAAGATGGGTAAATTAAGAGGACTTGGAGAAAGTAGCAGCAAAGGCATGCGAGGAGAGTGAGCACAAAGTTCCAAAAGCCCTAGAGAAGTTAGGGCTCTAAAATACAGAAATTTATGAGTCTGCTCTGCAGGCTGAGGGGGAGAAGCAGACAGTGGAAAGGAATGAAAATGCAAGAGAGAGAAGTAATGTTTTCATACATAAATGTAGAGAAGGTGGCAGAATATGGACTTGAGGGTTATATGTGGACAGCATATATTTAGAAAGGCTGGTAGCTTGGGATTTGATGGCAGTGAGTTTTCTAGAAGATCAGAAGCACTTTTACGAAAAGTACTCCAGCTCATTTATAAAATTTAAAGGAAACAGCATTTTTCTCTAGTCTGCTACTTCCCAGTAGACTTCGATACTATTATATCTTTGTAGCTCTACAGCACCCAAGGAGGAGTAGCTAAATAGTATGTATTGGTTAAATTAAAAACACAAAAACCTAATTTAAATCTGATGGTTTAATAGAATATTTTCATTACCCTCTTCAGAAAATAATAGAGCAGGGAAATTGTCGTCACATTTTACACTATCTGTCGCTGGCATTCTTTTTAAGTTTGCATCTGAGCAGTTTATGCAGTCTGGACCCTTTCAGAATCATAGAGGAGTCAGACATCTTGATACAAAAGATGTAACGTCTCAATGTAGATACCAGCACAGATCACATTAAAATACAGTAAGTTTTATTTTTATGTTTTGGCTTTATAAAGCTACCGTTTGTCAGAAAGTGAGCATGGGTCCAGGGGTACTAAATATATTGTGTTTCCAGAAGTGTTCTTCTAGATCTTAAAGCTGTCCCAGATAATTGGTATGTTAGAGATACTGACACATTCCCTGTCACCAGTGAAGTGAAACAGGGTTTCATAATAAGCCCATTCTTAATCAGCCTCTTATGCAGCCATGCCCTAAAGTGAAACAAAAGACCTAGTAACTGGTGTCAGAATATGCTTGTAATCCATTTAGAAACCTACTCTGTGGGCTAAAAGCTTATCAAAGCCCCTGCTTAAGAACCAGATCCAGGAACTGCTGTGTGCTACTGGCTGTTTCTGGAAGCATCTACACACTGTGATTTAAAAAAAAAAAAAAGAAAAAAAATATATGGTTTAAATTATTATAGTAAGAGGCATACAGTAAAAGGCATATTAATAGCCCCTGAAAATACTACCGTTTATTTTGAACAGACTTGATCCCATCATTCTTGCCACTTTCTGAGCAGTTAGGAAAATCTTGTTTCATGAGTGTCTTTAGATGTGCTATTGTGACTGCCTGGATATCCTCACTTGTTCAAAACACATACCTTCCATGGTCATTTTGACTGTGCGGAAGAGCCAGAAGTTGTACTTTACCAGATCCAGTGTGTAAGGTGGATACAGGCATACTGTTAATGTTTTTATGAGCCACTTTTTCTGTTGGGTGGCGTTTGGCAGCACCATTCACTGTATTTTTTAATCACAACTAGTGAAGGCATTCACATAGATGAGTTGTAGAGCCACTTTAGGAAGTGGCAAGACCGATAGGCCAAGTGTGTTCAGAGTTATGGGGAGTATTTTGAGGTGGATTAATGCCATTGTATCTTTTTACTGTAATTTAAAAAATTTTTTTTCCAAGTCCATTTTATTTCAAGGAGAAAAAGAAGAAAGAACTAAAGCTGGAGATATAGCTCAGCAGCATAAATGTCTGCCTTGCAAGCACGAGGTTGTGAGTTTGATCCTTGGTACCAAAAACAAAACAAAAAAACATATCTAGCCCAATTTTAGCCAGGCATGATGACATTCACCTGTAATCCTAGCACTGGGAAGGCTGAGGCAGGAAGATTGTCAGGAGTTTAAGACCAGCCTGGGCTACAAAGTGAGCTCAAGGCCAGCCTGAACTGCATAAGGAGACCCTGTCTCAAACGAAACAAAACAAAACAAAACAAAACAACCCCAACAAAAAAATCTAAAACAAAATTTCAAAGATTGAGAAGGCAGCAATGATACATGTACATATATTGTGCATTGTCATCTCCAAATCAGTGACCCAGAGCACAAGACATCCGCATTCATTTGTCCAGACAATACCAGCACAAACCTTTCTCTTCAGTGAACTCAAATCAGGAGTATAACTACCTTAACTTTTTATATACATATACATATACACATGTTGTTTCTTTCAGCTTCCTACATTAATGAGACAGTGTGTTGTTTATACTTGTCTTCACTAAGGAGTATGGTCCCTAATTGTATCCATTTACCTATAAAAGTCTCCATTTTATCCTCCTTTATGGCTGAGTAGTACTCCTGTATAAAAATACCACATCGTTTTTATCCATTCCTTAGTGGATGGGCATTTAGGTTGTTTCCAAGGTCTGTCTATTACAGATTGCGCTGCTGTAAACAGGGGTGTACATGTGTCACTGTGGTGTGACGTTTTAATTCTTTTGGAAAGATAACCAGGAGGGGCATAGCTAGGTTGAATGTAACTTGTAGTCCTAGTTTTTTGAGGACTCTCCACACTGATTTCCATTGTGGTTGCAGCATTCTGCATACCCATCAACAGTGGAGAAGAGTTCCTTTTTCCCCATAGCCCCCCCAGCATTTGTTGTTGCTTGATTTCTTGATAATTGTAATCTCAGTTTTGTTTTACTTTGTATCTCTCAAATGATCAGTGATGTCGAACTTTTTTTTTTACATATTTATTTGCCATTTGTATTTCTTCATCTGAGTAGTGTATATTCACCTCAGATGCCCATTTTTTGGATTGGGTCTTTGAATCTGGGATGACTGATTTTTTTTTTTTTTTTTTTTTTTTTTGAGTTCTTTACATAGTACTCCTTTGTCTGAGTTACAGCTTTACATGTTCTTTAAACAGTAATCCTTTATCTGAGTGAGGTACAGCTAGCAAACACTTTATCCCACGGTGTGGGTTGTCTCTTCATTCTATATGTGGTTTCTCTGGCTGTGCAATAGCTTTTCAGTAGAGATCCCAGTTGTTGATTCTTTGTGATAGTTCCTGTGCAATCAGGGTTTTGTTTATAAAGTCTTTGCCTACACCAATGTCTTGAAGAGTTTTACCTCTTTATCTTTCAGCACATTTAATGTTTCTGTTGTAATAAAAATTTAAAATTTAAACATTCACCATATATTTTTGTTCACCCCATGTATACAAATGACTATGGATTGCTTTCTAGAATGTCATAGCATAGATGGTGAATCTTTGGGAGGCCAAAGTGATGTCTTACCCCACTGGGAGAGTCCTGCAGTGCAGAGATTTTCAAATGCGGAAGTAATTTAAAATTGATAACAAGAATTTGCTGCCTGTGGCAGCATGTTGTTCCCTAACAGTTTAACAAAGCTGTTAAAAAATGAATTCTGTCTGCTTTTCAAATAACATGTTGACCTGAATGTGACCGATCAAGTGGAATGCCAGGCTAGAGTCAAGGAAACTGGTATTGTCTAGCTGTTCCATAGCATTCCAAAGCAAACCTGCTGTTTTTGCTGTGGAGCACATACACTAAAGTTGGAACAGTATAGAGAAGATTACTGTGGCCCTTGGGTGAGGATGACACACAAATTCCTGAAGTGTTCCATATTTTTATGGGGAAAAACATGTATCATGTATAAGTATAAGTTTGAGATCATTATATATATCTTAAATGTACCAATAAACTTTATTAATTAAAAACAAATTTGCCACAGATTAACATGTCAGTATCACATTTTAAGTAGTATAATCAATAGAGAGGTTTCTGTGGGTCTGCTAGCATGGAAATAAGCATTATGTGTATTATCAGAATCTTGACTGTATCTGTTTTAATTGGTGGATGGGAAATTGATGTGGGATGGACCTAGCAAATTCTACAGCAAAAGACACTGACGTATGTTTTCAAACAGCAATAGAGTGGCTTGGGAGGATCTTACTTAGAGGAAAGTTGTAGATGTGATATAGCTCAAAAAATCTGAATTAGATCAGGAAGCAGTGTTGCTCGAGATTGACAACAGCATGAGTAAATAAGACACTAGTCATTTCAAAAGTGAGAGTGTGCCAGGCTGTGCTCAGCATTGCTCTGTAGGTGCTTGCAGCAAAGCTAGACTCCAGCTTGTAAAGTTTGAATTTTGGTAGGCAATGCCAGCTGCAACCAAATTAAAGGGATTCGTACAAGTCCTGATGACTGATAAACAAATTGAGTGCAGTGACAGAGAACAGAGAGTGGGCAGAGGTTACCTACAGGAAGCTTAAGGTATTTAGGCAAAGACTTGACAGAGGAGAAAAAGGATACCCTTGTAAAAACTTTGGGAAGAACATTCCAGAGGGAAGCATAAACACAGGCGCTGAGGTAGGGGAGATAGGTGATATGAAACATGTAAACCATGGTAAAGGGTTGGGATTTCATTCCAACAACAGTAAAAAGGCATTCTAGGCATTGAAGCTAGGAAGTGACATTCTCTCAGCAGTGCTTTAGAAGACTTTTTTTCCTACCTTTTCTGTTTTATGGAAGCTAGAAAGGTGGGATTAGTGGGTGGAAGGAGACCAGAAAGGGTAGGGTATTGCTCTAGTACAGGTTAAGGTGATGGTAGCTAGGATTTTGTAGTGGCAGTGGAGATGGAGTTAGAACACCTGGATCTGTTGATGCAGTGGACGTTGGAGTTATGGGAAAGGAGCCCTAATGACTTTAGGTGGTTTTTGTTTGTATGTTTGGTTTTTGGTGCTCTTGGCTAGATGATGGTGATGTTTTACTGGTAGAAGTTTGCAGTGGAGACTTGTATGTCTGTGTGTTTCTGTTTGGAGGAGGGCAAAGTGGAAATAGCTCTTTTTCAGATGGGTTAGGTTTGATTCCCCTGAAGGTGCAGAATAGAAGAGATAGAAGTTAGTTACAGTTCAGGGATATTTTGAACTTGAGATACATACAGATTTGGTATTGTCATCCTATAGGGGATTCTGTGACTGTCTGGATGTGTCTAGCTGACCTAGAAAGTAAAAGTATTGTAAGAAGAGGGCCTACTAGGGTAGACTTAGGCATCCAGCATTTAGAGGTTTATAGTAAGAGAAGTCTGCAAAGGAAGAAACTGGCGAATTCAAGGATATGGCATGAGAAAGCAGTGAGTGGCATAAACCTGTGATCTCAGTTACTTTGGAGGCTGAGGCAAGAGGAAGGCAAGTTGGAGACCAGCCTGGGCCATTTAGTGAGACCCTGCCTCACAATGAAAAGGACTGGGGCTGTGGTTAGTGGTGGTGTATTTGCTTAGCGTGTACATGGCCCTGGGATCAGTCTTTCATAGGACAAGCCCATTTGAGAGGAGATGACAAAAAGGGGATGATTTGGGGGATAAAAAAGATGTATTACTCCTCCTATTTAGAAGATTTCATTATATTTATCCAGGAAAATGATTTGAGTATTCTCATTTTTACTCATTAGGACAGAACTTCTTTTTTATTTTTTTAAAATTTTTTTATCTTCAAACTAGACAGAACTTCTTACCATTGTGTATATTATTTTTTTCTGGAACCATTTTCAGTACTATAGATTCTCAAAGGTTATTTTTTCTGACTTTTCTTTCCTCTCTCCTTACCAAAAAAGTTTTTGTTTTAAAATTTTGAGGCAGGTTCTTGCTAACTTAGGCAGGTGTTGTAGTTAGGGGCTGTGAGGAGAACAATTAAAATCAGGACACAGAATTTGTAATATTATTTTATGGTGGTTACCCAGAGTTAAACACAAGAAGTGCAGAGAATCTAAAGACCCAGAATATTCAGAATCAGTCCTGGATCCCATAGCAATGTCCTGCATGAATCCAGATGAAGACCCAGAACCCATAACAATGTCTCCCATGAGTGCAACTGGAGATTTAGAGCCCACAAAAAGGACTCACGCCAGTCTGTTTTAAGGACTTGCACTGGGAAAGCCCAAATGTCAATGATGGAAGCTAGCAAGTCTATGCCAACAGGGTGAAGGAATTGTGCTGGTAGATTGAGGGTTCTGCACTGGAGCTAAGAAGTCATGCTCAAAATAAGGACCAGGGCTGCCCTGAAAAGTGTCACAGCCATCCTCAGCAACAGGGAGGTCCCAAGCTCCTCCAGTGATAAGAACAGTTGTGTACATGCCACAACGCTAGTGTGACAAGTTTCTCCTGGAGATTATATAGTAAACATCTTCTCCTGTGGAGCCAGGAAGCGATGCTTGATGTAAGGACCAGAGCTTCCCCCAAAGTGAACCACAGCCACTCTCACCAATAATGACCTGAGCTCTTCTGATAATGGTTGAAATCATATTGGGGAAGCTAGTCATGACAAGCTCTTCCAGGAGAACCAATGGCTCAACAGCAACACTTAGAGAAACCCACAACACCTCACTGTTCTTCTCCACCGCCTGTATTTATGCTGGCAACTTTGCTCAGGTGGAACATCTGCGTGTGCTCAGCACCATACTGATTTAATTCAGCTGATGTTAAGTTGACTACCAGTTTTTAATCCATGACAGCAGGATTGGGTTACACACATGTGCCATCACACCTAAGAACCGTATTCTTGAAGTGATAATTTAAGCCGGCATATGGGCACATTTATAATCTCAGCACTCTAGAGGCTAGCAGGAGAATCGCTGTAAGTTCAGGGCTATTCTGGCCTGCGTAGTAAGTTTAAGGCCAGCCTGCTGTAGAAAGTGAGATCTTTCTCACTTTTCAGAACAAAAAAATGGTAACTGTTGTAGTCAGGATTTGCAAAGAAAACGGTTACATACAAGACACATAATTTATAGTATTATTTTACAATCCAAGGTGTCAAATACAAAGAAAATGCAGGTAATCTGTCCATACCCTAAAGACTTAGAGATAGCCAAGAGCCTAGATCCCACAGAAATACCCTGCGTGAGTTCTGCTCACACAGACCTAGAGCCCATGACAATGACTTATCCATGTCTGTTTCATGGGATCTGTGCTGGGAACGCCCCAAGGTCAGTGAAAGCTAGAAAGTCTGTGCCAGCAGCATGAAAGATCTGTGCTAGCAGGCTGAGTGTTCCTGGAGCCAGGAAGCAATGCTTAAAGTTAAGAACCAGAGTTCCCCCTCACCACCCCCATAAGTAGCACAGCCATCCTCAGTGACAGTGAGGTCCTGAGCTCCTCCAGTGATTAAAAACAGCCGAGTTCATATCTGGAAGCCAGCGTGACAAGCTTCTCCTGGAGATTGAACAGCATACTATTTTTGCCTCTGGAGGTAAGGACCAGATCTTCCCCAAAGTGAACCACAGCCATTCTCAGTGACAAGACCCTGAGCTCCTCTGATGATCAGAACAGCCAAGTTCCTATCATGAAAGAAGCTTGACAAGCTCCTCCAGGAGAACCTATGGCACTAAACTGCACTAACACTCTTCATCTCCAGGTCTCCTTTTTATGCTGGCAACAATCCTCATGTAGGCCAGCTGATTCAGTTCAGCTCAGCTGGTATTTAGGTTGACCATCAGTTTTAAATTCACCACAGTAACTATCCCACAGCATAAAAAAAAGGAGTAATTTTATCCATTCTGTGCTGTTTTACTTACTCATTTTTCAGTCTCTCTTAAAACCTTTATATATTTAGTGGTTTGTTTAGAGCAACTTTTACTGCTTTTTGAAGATTTGAACTTTCCCAGCCTGATAACAAGTCCTTTCAAGAACAGTCATCTTTCAATTCTGAAGCATCTCTGATACCTTTTATTTAGATCCCTATTGGAGCACTAGGGTTGAGGATAACAACATTTACTCATTGTCATTTGACCTGAAGATACATTTTAAAATTAAATGCTGTTTTGTTATTTGGTGAGCTAAAAATCTACAGGCTTCATCTGCATTTTCTTTTCTGTTGAAATCTTTAATTCACTTTTATATTGCTGGCTTTCTGCTAACCTGGTGTGCTCCCTCCCTTTCTTGTTACTTAAAGGGAAAAAAATTGCTAGCCAATTAAGTTTTTTTTTTTCAGAAATTTGTTGTGGATGTGTTCCCTTGAGGCAGAAAACAGTTGGCAATGATAATTGCGATTTTGAGAAGCAGATACAACTTTGTAAACCCAGAGTGTATGCAGAAATTTTAAATACATTTAGGATGGTGTTGCAGTTTCTTTTTTTTTCTTTTTTTTGGTATTTTTCGTTTTTTATCGGTACCAGGGATCAAACTCACAACTGCCTGCTTGCAAGGCAGGCGCTTATGCCGCTGAGCTAAATCCCCAGCCCCTGGTGTTGCAGTTTCTATGTATCACCCCTGGGCAGCTCTGAACCACTAGTGGTCCATGAGTAACTGTTACATCAGATAGCATACAACAGTCCCGTTAGAAATCACAAGCTGTGGGCTGGGGGTTTAGCTCAGTGGCATAAGCGCCTGCCTTGAAAGCAGGCAGTCGTGAGTTCGATCTCCGGTACCAGTAAAAAGGAAAAAGACAAAGAAAAAAAAGAAATCACAAGCTGCCTGATTGAATAGTCATACATGTATCATCAGCAGGAACATGTTAAGGGCCCAAACTCTGGAGTGTTACTCATTCCCCAGGAAATATGTACCAGGCTCAGCAGGAGTAGTAATTGTTTTCCTTGAATGCATTTTAAAAATACATGACATACCAAGCACATCATTTGCAT